GATGAGCTTATTATACCCGGTATGGATAATCTTTTACCGGAGGTAATGTTTATCCATAACTGGGTACTGAAAAGATAAGCTTATTATATCCGATATGGATAAACTTTTATTGGGGGTAATGTTTATCCATAACTGGGTACTGAAAAGATAAGCTTATTATATCCGATATGGATAAACTTTTATTGGGGGTAATGTTTATCCATAACCGGGTACCGAAGTGATAAGCTTCTTCAGGAAGCTTATTTCCAATATAGTATTAAATAGATAAACATATTTACGGTGGAGTCCCATATGGATAAGCTTCTTCAGGAAGCTTATTTACAACGGAGTACTAAATGAACATCCATAATATAATATATTTATAACACGAATCATGCTTTCCAAGTTGAAAGACCCTTTCATTTCATAAGTTAATGTTCTTCTCCCTGTTTGACAAACACCACTTAAATAATAAATTATAGTTGGTATTGTCAAACTCATCTCAATTACTTTAGGTTTTAAAAAGTATTAACTCCACATTATGCACCGCTAATGAAACTTTGATAAATCACTACAATAATAATAATATATTTAGTGTATTTTTACAGTGTAACGTTTGAAAAAGTTAAAATATACACAAATTTTACTTATATCTTATCAAAGGAGATAAGTTATTTTCGATAGACAAATCGATTAAACTTTGATGAACTAATAAGGAAAAGGAATTGGTCACTTCCTTTGAGCCAACCTACTATGATTTGACAAAAATAAAATCCTTAGTTCAAGTAATAGGAATACTAGCTATTTGAGTTGTACCCTTTAATGATGTGATGTGATGATAACGACTTTTTCTTATATAAATAAAAGATTCAAGTTCGAATGTTAAATATAAAAACTTCAAAAGAAAATACTTTACTTTTCTTAATGACCTTTATGGCAAAAATCCAAATTAATTAAACACGTAGTGTTTGGATTCAAATACTTGAACCAAAAAAAAAAAAAAAAACCTTAATTTGTTAATGGTAACTAAATTACAATAATTACGATGACGTTTGTTTGACTCAAAAGATATTGAAATTTTTATAAACAAATCAATCAAAAAGAATGAAGGGGTAAATCTTAGTTAAACATAATAAACTCCAAATCGATAAACTAATTGAAAAAATAATGCATAAGTGAGATTGAGGTAACCAATATTATTAAAACTTTCCATTGTGACTCCCATTAATCAATGGAGGAGATCATTTTACATATTTTTTTGGAGATTGTTTCGTTCTTCTTTTTACTATGAAGATTACAGAGGAGAGAACAAGGGAGAGAGAAAGAAGTAAAAAACCGCCCCCTTTACCGACGGTTTTACCCCATTGTATATAGTCATGGAACCTTTGCTATGTATTTGGTCTGACGCTCTTTCACACTGTGACTGCCTTGGTCGTCCCTTAAACGCTGTTTCTTCTGGTTCGACGGGTATCATTAGTGCGGGATATGGAATAGACCATGTCATCTTTCGCCGCCTCGCTGCTTGGACGGGGTGTTGGTCAGCTTGATCGAATCGATCAGATTTTGACCAATACAACGTTAATTATTTTATTTTTCATTTTGAATCCTTCTTTTAAAATTGTGTCCACCCTCGAGAAACACAACTCATGCATATCAATTCAAACTTTTTAATATTCTTATTACCGATAGAAGTTTCAATTGAACTGATAGAAGCGGAGCTAAAATTTAAAATTTATATATTCTAAATTTACTACGAAACTCATAACTTAGTTTAGTTATTGAGTTTGCAATATATATATATATATATATATATATATTAGTACAAATACTATATTTAAGAAAAAGTGACGATATTCAACTGAACCTGTGTCTAATAGATTAACTCCGCCTTGGTGACCTGATACTTGTGTTATGGTAGATAACATATAATAAATAATTAAGGCGTATGCAAACTAATTTGATAATGAAAAAATGATATTGTATAGCCGCTATAAAAATAATAGCCGAAAAAAGTATAAAATTTATATATTTTTTGNGCTATCAAATATAAATAATTTCTGGTACGAGCTAGAAGTGATAATACTATTTGATATGTAATATTATTTTTGTTATTAAAAAGAAAATTTTTGTTTTAAAGTCGAAAACAAAGAAAAAGAAAAGTAGAAGACGTCAAATCGCGGAATTCCCGAAGATGATATTATTATTATTATTATATTATTATTATTATTAATAAAGAGAAAAATACACAAAATAGTTTTGAGTTTGTTGGCCTATTTTACTAATCAAAATTGGGTGGCGCCAAAAAAAAAAAACCGACTGCTTCTTCTTCTTTTTCTTCTCCTCCTCTCTCCCCAACCATATTATACGGTTAATTAACGTATCTTCGCCGGAAAATTAACGGCGGCTATCGTCCGGCGGCGACTCTGATGATCACTGCTAACGTGTCAGTTTGATTATTTAATTATTACTGGTTAGTTTTGATTTTTCGCATTTGAATTTTTTCTGCGAATATTATATACACGTGATATATATGTATTTGAAATTCGTACGCGATTACGTGTTTTCGCCGGCAAATTAACAGCGGCTTTCGTCCGGTGACTTCGATTAACAGTGCTTACGTGTCGGTTTGATTAATTAATTACTTGTTAAGGTTTGAATTTGCTCTGCGAATAATACATTTTTGCGTCTATTTGTTCATCGTTGATTATGTAAACCAGTATTTTTTGAACTTATTTTTCTTTTGTTTTAGAAATTAGAATATATTTTTTTACAAAAAAAATGAAAATTTTAAATTAAATTTCGGATTTTTTCTGGATTTTAGATATTTTTTCTGTCTTATATTGCTAGGGTTATGATCATGTATTAAAAAACGAAACTTTCAGTTGGATTAGAACATTTTTATCTTTGTTTGCCGTGTTTTTCGAATTTCATGCTGTGTGACTTCATATTCTAAAAAGGAATCTTCTTTGTCATATTTTGACAATTTTATTAAGATTTTTAATTTTATAGGGAAAATTAGACATTTTTGTTTAAATTTGGGATTTTTTTTCCTGTTTAGCTTCCTTTTTGTCTCTATTTTGCTAGGGTTCTGATCAAGATTTCTGTTTAGCTTCCTTTTGTTCAATATTTTTGAACTTTCAAATCATATTTTATGTTTTCCTCGAATCTAATGTAGTGGTACTTCATATATCTAAAGAAATAAAAAGAATCTTATTTTATCATTATATGTTTGAAAATTTACTGAGTTTTGTGTTAAATTCTATTTCATCACTCTGTTTCTATTTGTAGGCAAAAATACTACTACTACTTTGGACTAATTTGTTTCTAGTTTCTGAACAATCTTTATGATGACTGTACATGAATAATGCAAATGTTCACAGAATCAGGAACAAAATCTGCCATAGCACATTATTAGATCTATTTTCCTTATGATTTCAATATATTCTCAATATTTCATTGGTTTTTGTTCCTGAAATCCACTAAACAAGGGAAATAGTCAACATAAGAAATATATATATTTTTGGATTTCTTCTTTTATCGATGTAGGCTTGTTAGTGTAAAGAAATGTATATAGATTTTTTACATAGATATGAATAATTTTTTAAGTGCATTTATGATACTGAGAGTTCATGGGGATGGACAATGATCTTACTTGCACGTGGTCCTCCATTTCCGCCCCCATAACCCTATATATTTATCTATCATTTGCTTGCTTAATTATTTCCTTATTCCTTTTAGCAGGATTGTGATTGGGAAACAAACAAAAGTTTTATTATAATTTTAAATCATTGACCTAATTATTATTTAGTTAAAGCACCGAAATGGAGTTAATCTTGAAAAAGATGATTGAAGGCTTATTTGCTTGTTGATTCAAGTATGACCTCGTAATTAAAGTGGAGTTCAAATCCCAGGTAGTCAAAAAATAATATTAGAAGTTGATTTCTTCGCATATGCTCCAATGAGTTATTTGATACTTGTACTTGTGAGAGATAATAGGTACGGTGAAATTAATTAGGTACCTACAAGTAACTTGAACGCTACCGTTACTATATATAAAAAATAAATCCAATTTATTTATTTTTGAGAAACTACCTTAGGTGTAAGTTTAAGTGTAACTGAATTCCCTTTCATGAAAAGGAGTTGGGTGTGGGAGAGAAGGAACAGGACAGAAGGGCTGTGACTATCTGTGTAACGTATCCAGCTTGGCTGACCATGGCACTCCCGTGAGAGGGATAAAAGGTTGTTGTTGGGGCCACAGGGAAAGAGGAGGGTCAAAAAGAAGGAAAAAGCAAAATTAGGAATGGGAAGGAAAGAGATACAAAAAGAAAAAAAGAAAAACTAAAAGTTATGGTCCACATAAATATATTTTCATTCTTAACTAGAAATCTCGTATTTTTATTTTTAACTAGAAATCTCGAGTTTAAGCCAATGGAGTCGTCCGTGATAAGATCAACTATACCTCCAAAATGGAATTTTTTGGTATGAATTTGAATTGATCCGGTCTCCAGTATTGGACATCGGGTGAAAAAGTAAAAAAAAAAAAATTAAGAGAAAGGGGGAAAAAATGTAAATGAGAGAAGCTTTTCTTGTCCTGTGCATCATTTTCTAGTCCTATTTCTTATCCTACACCCACCCCATCTCCCACTATACTTCCCCATTTCGAGGGAAGAGGTTAATATAACCTCTTTCTCTTTCTTTAACAAGCATACAATTGTTAAATTTTTTTCTCTGCCTGCCAATGTACATTCTTGTCTTGATAATAATACTGATTTGGCAAATATTAGCATAGGGGTTCCTCTTTTAATTGAGTTCTTGACATTTGCTTGATCTACCTGGTTTTGAGTATTGATCATTGTGATTATAAAACAAGAATTTGCAATTTATTGGCTGGGACTCTAATATTGATTCTTCTTCAGATCTGGGTGCCTGTAAAGATGTATTCTTTTGATCATCCTTTTTCTTTTCAAATGGTATATTAATTATTCCTTCTTTAATTTCATCTTTAGTATATCTTACTTTTAGCCTCGAATTTTTGTGGCAGATTTACAGCTGAGAAAAGGATCTTACTTTATTGGCATTGGTGTGTAATTCATTAGATTAATGTTGGGTTCTTGAGAGCTGGGCTTTTCAAGAATGGCTTAAGTTGTTATTAATATAAGAAAGGGGATATCATTATATCAATGCTGTCTAATCTTGGACAGTTTGGATGGATGTGTATGAATCAAAGGTAGCATTACAGAAGCAGAATTCAACATTGGAAAAGAACAATGGAAACATCCGTAGGCCAAGAACCAGAGAAGTTAGTTCTAGGTACAGGTCACCTACTCCATCAGCAGCATCCTCTGGCGTTAGACGTTGCTCTTCTCCAAATGTCACAAGAACTGGAACTACTACATCAACAATGTTCTTGCCTAAACGAGCCATATCGGCTGAAAGGAAACGCCCCACCACGCCTTCATCACCTACCAGTACTACATCACGACCGTCAACACCTGTACAGGATACATCTGCGGAAGAATTGTTGTCCAGAAAGTTGGGAGGTAATCGATTGCCAGAATCGTTGTGGCCCTCAACAATGAGGAGTCTCAGTGTTTCGTTTCAGTCGGATACCTTTTCTTTACCTGTAAGTAAGAGAGAAAAACCTGTTTCTCATGCTCTATGTGATCGTACTTTGAGGCCCTCATCAAATGTAGTGCAGAAACAGGGCGAAACACCTCCTGCTTCTCGAAAGGCGACACCTGAGAGGAGGAGGAGTCCATTGAAGGGAAAGAATTCTGCTGATCAAGCAGAGAATTCTAGGCCAGTTGATAGTTTAAATGCTCGATTAGTTGATCAGCATCGATGGCCAAGTAGAATGGGTGGGAAGGTATCATCTGGTACTATGAACAGAAGTGTTGATCTGAGTGATAAGAATAGTAAAATTGCGCCAATTAGTCGCTCAGTCACGCCTTCCTTGAGGAGATTATCATTGGATGGTTATACCAAACCGTTGCAAAAATCTTCCAGCGACTTGCTGTCACTAGTATCATCCGATGATAGAGTAAAAGGTAGAGTTCTGTCAGTAGATGATAGTTCACTTTCAATGCAGAAGTCCACATCTTCGAGTTCATTGGAAAGAACAGTACAAGGGAATCCAGTAGCTAGATCTCAGACTGTTTCAGCTCCTGGATCACGACTTCCGTCACCGAATAAGGCATCTGTTATATCATCCTCTGCATCTCGAGGAGTCAGTCCATCTCGAACAAGATCAGTCCCAAGTACACCATCTAGAGGGCCAAGTCCTTCTCGGATAAGACCATCTAGTCCATCTAGACAACCCAAAACTTCTACTTCTGTCCTCAGCTTTATTGCAGATATTAAAAAGGGGAAGAAGGCAGCTAACCACATAGAAGATGTTCATCAGCTGAGGCTATTGTATAATAGACATCTCCAATGGCGGTATGCTAATGCCAGGTCAGATGCAGCATTGCACGCGCAGAAACTTCAAGCAGAGGTTTGGTTATTTACCTTGCAAAGCTTCATTGTGTGCCTTTAGACTTATTTCTTTAGTTACCTTATAATCATTCAAAAAAATTCCATGTACCTCTCGGAGTTCTCTTCTTCTAAATTGGTTAATGGTGATCTTATGCATGGAAATGTTCATTTGGTTCCTGAGAAGTACTGCATGACAGAAAAATCCAATAAAAACAACTGCGGTATGGACATTATTTGGAATTGTAATACAGAAGGGAAAGATTATAATTAATGAATTTTTTATCACAAGCAGAAGATTAAAACCCTTTTTTTATAATAGTATAGAAAAACTGGCATTCGTTTATCTTACTAATATTGGCTTCTTACTTTCTAATTTATTATTTAATTATGTCTTGTGGGGTTGGAATCATGGACTGATATCTTTGTGGCTTGATGTTCTCTGGGAGCTTTCTGATATTTCCCCATCATATAAGCGACTTGGTTGCGTTTTTGATGATTTAACTGACAGTTTTAATTTCCGCCTGTGCAGAAAACATTGTACAATGTCTGGAGGAATACGTCGGATTTATGGGCTTCTGTTATTAAAAAGAGAACTGCACTCCAACAGCTGAAGCTGAAGTTGAAGCTTTTTGCAGTCTTAAATGAACAGGTAATGTATCTTTATAACATATGATTCGAATATCATCCCTGATGTTTTAATCTTTATGTTTTTAGTGTTTTCCAGAAAAATCTGTGGATTGTAGATTTCTAGAACTTCCTTATCATAGGATGATCCCGTTCAAAATGAAGATTTGAGTTTAGACCACATCTTTTGTCTTTTCTCATTTGTGTAAGGGATTTGATATAGGCAATCATTGGCTTGTGGTTGAAGTTTGTAGCGACGGAAAGCAGGAATTTCATGTGGAATTCCATGAATTTTCCTCTGGCTTAGTTCAAATCATTGAACACCATATGAATGTAGTCTCCTTTTTCTGATGAGTTTCTTCTCATAATTGAACTATTAGGTATGAGTAGGACGCATTCACTTGTTAGCCAGAAGAATGCACCATTTTTAGGTACTATATGATATCGTCCTGTTATCTGGAACCTGACACCCATAAAATGCTTGAGGTTTGATATGAATATGTGAATTTAGATATCTTCTGTTCATAATAGTGAAAGCTTTTAAACCTAGAATTTTGAGCTTGATTTTTTCTTACAGAAACAGTCTGTAGTCAGGTCTTACCTTTAACTGTTCCAGATTTCTTCGTAGTTCCTTTCCTTATGCTGATTTGACTTCTCTGTATCTGGATATAGTTTGAAAATCAGGGTTCAGAAGAATGGTATGTTACTATATCATTTTTTCTTTTAAGGAGGGGGGTTGAAGGAGAGGGGAGTATGAGGTTTTTGTAGCATAACTGATGTTAAAACTCAAATTCATTTGTTCAGTAGACAATATGATTTCTATTTAGATCCTTACTGTAGATGTGGCGTTATTGTTTAAACTGATTTTTTTTCTGGAAATGATTGCTTCAGCTCACCTACCTTGATGAGTGGGCTTCAATTGAAAGGGATCATACCAGTTCAGTATCCCATGCTATACAAGATCTACAGGCATGCACTCTCCGTCTTCCAATAATTGGACAAGCAAAGGTATGCAACTTGATACTTAGTGTTTTGAGATCAATGATTCCTAAGACATAGAGTCTTATTCGAGTTGGCTCTTTTACAGGGTGATATTGAAAGTGTTAAGGAAGCTGTTTGCTCAGCTGTTGATGTAATGCAGGCAATGGGATCCTCCATGCGTTTTATATTGCCTAGGGTAAGTTCTTATATTATTTTAAGTTCTATTTTTTCTTGTTCTTTCTTACCATTAATTTACTTTCCGTTTCTTTAGTGTTTAAGTAACATAAAATGCAATAGCAAATTGGACCAAATGGTGTTGTCTTTTACTATCAGGCTTTGTACAATCCTCAATTGTTGTTTGAGATAAGGAAGTGAGAGAGCTGATATTAGAGAGATAGAAAAGTCATTAGCACATAGTTTTCTGTAACAGAGCCGGTAGCTACGTTCTGCTAGAATCATTTTAGTTTGTTGATCAGCAGAAGTTGCAACTTTGATTGTTTGACAAATGTAGAGATTCTCTTTGCACATTTTCTGCTAGTGTTATACTGAGCGTCGATTTTTGAAAATAATATTGATTTGACAGAATGAATGATATGCATCTTGGAAAAATTTAAAGATTCTCTCGCTATTTTTTTTCTTTTTAACTTTCTTGCTATTCAAGATATGTTGCAGATGGAAAAGTAAACTATAGATGAGCACTACAATGCTCTAGAATTAGGCTTAAAATTCTTTCGCTTAGGCTTCTAGATTGCCTTTGGCCTTTACTGACAGTTAGAAACTCTTAATTGCCAAAATCCACCTAAAAAGTAGATTTTATTTCTTGTGTAAGATAGCCTCAATTGAAGTACTAAAAGGAGAATGTCAAACAATCTATAGGCTCAACTTGGTATCTTGATTGCTTAGAACTTCATAATTTTGTCTGCACTGTGTGTTTTTTTTCCTTTTGTGGTAAAATTGTTTCAGACAATTTAACAATTTTCCTAATTTTTGCACTCCGCACTTTTGCAGGTGGAAGGGATGAACTGCCTGGTTTCTGAACTTGCTGACGTGGCAGCTCAAGAGCGAGCCATGCTGGACGAATGTGAAGCCTTGTTGGCCTCAACAGCAGCTATGCAGGTGAGGCTGAAAATTTGTGGCCCCATAAAGTTATTGCCTTCATTACAGAATCTCAACTACTCCTTAGTCTTCTCTCTTCTCCCTGTCCTATTCCCTTCTCCATTTAACGCCTTTATCATAGTTCAACTCAGTTGATGTATCACTTTTATCATCTCCCATATCCATATAGTGATCTTCTTCTTTTGTCATTTGGACTGAGATTGCTTTTTTACTTTAGTTCAGATTCATTCTTCATTCCTTGCATGTTAAGATGACAACTTATGGTCATTATGGATCTGCATTGATCAGCATTAGTTTTTACCCAACAATGAAAATTCATGGTTCTAGTAACCAACAAAATGTGCAGTATCTATTATAGAAACTCAAAAAGTAAAGTCCCACCATGTCTAGCTTAAACATCTTAGGAGGTTAGCTCAGTTTTTAGGGCAGCCAGGTGCACTAAGTTCCCGCTATGCGCAGGGTCCGGGGAAGGACCGGACCACAAGGGTCTATTGTACGCAGTCTTACCCTGGATTTTTGCAAGAGGCTGTTTCCACGATTTGAACTTGTGACCTCCTGGTCACATGACAACAACTTTACCGGTTACGCCAAGGTTATCTAAGTGTTTGATAGTACATATAGTTCATGTAAGGAGTGTTTGTCATCTTAATTCTAAGCGTGCGCTAATTCATTTTCCATCTCTGTTCCAAATACATTACACGATGGACGGAATAGCGTGTAGATTTTGCTGTTCCATGTCCGATGAACTTGATTATCTAATGCGATTACTTGACAATAATGCAGGTAGAAGAATATAGCATTAGGTCTCATCTTATACAATTGAAACAAGCTTGGAGAAGTGATGAGCAGCTGATACTTGGGAATTAGATAGCTTTTACCAAATGCTTCTCAAAATTCAATTCTAACCAACTCTTCCTCGTCAAATGAAGAATATGCCACATCTCCAGCCTTAGCTAGTGTGTATAGTAATAGGTTTTTTCTTCTCATTCTTTTTTTTTTCCTTCTAATTTATCATGGGAAATCTTGAATTATTCCATTCTTTTTTCTTTTTCTCTCTTTTTTTCTTCTCCACATATCTTGCAAAAAGCCGTCGTCCTTATCCTAATGTAACTTTTTGTATCATCAACAAAAAAAGAAATGCAAAGGAAGAACAAGATTCAAATTTAGTTATAGAAAAGAAGCAAACTTACCAAAGATCATCTTACGTTCTTAAAGTTTTCCTTAAACTCAAAGTTTTCTATTTATTCATTTACATACAAACAAATTTGACAATCATTTTTTCTATTGATCACTTAAGATTGGGATTGGAAATCATAAATAGAGAGCAAGTGACCATTGCTAAAGAAGATGACTCACTTTGACATAATATGATTTGAGTCCATTTCTGTTCATTTATTGAAGCATTGCCAGCTCTATGCATATTTTGCTTTAAAATTTTTGGAAAAGCATTCAAATTTGTCCTTGTGTTATTCGAAATTGCTCAAATTTGCCGTTTATTGGTCTTTAAGTTCATTGATACCGTTGCTTTTAGTAAATGTTTAGTATTTACGCCATTCAGAGACTTTTACTCCCTCCGTCTCATATTATTTGTCATGATTCTCTGGTACACGCTCCTCAAAAAATAGTTAATTAAAATAAGATTTTGATTACTTTACCCTTATTCATGTCTTAATATTTAATCTTTCTTCATTAGTATTTGGATAAAATTATCCATAATTGAGGTACTTGTAGTCTTCAAGGATAATTATTACTAAGGGAAAAAAGGAAAAAGTTGTCAATTTTGTCTTGAACTTCTGAAGGACAAATAATTTGAGACAACTATTTTTAGTAATCACGATTGATAATATGAGACAGAGGGAGTATGTTTGTGTTTACCAAACATATATACTAAATTGGGAAAATTTAAGTAGATTGTTCAAATGTGTGCAATTAGGAGCATCAAATAACAATAACATAACAAAGGGCATTTTAATTTGTTTAAAGAATTAGAAAATCTCCAATTCATAGGTCAGTAAAACAAATCCTTCGGGGATCAATGCGCGCGCAGACCCTGATGCTCAAGACAAAATTGTTGCCAACGGACTTGTTTCTACCTTGTAGAAGACTAAGTCCTTTTCATTGTAAATATAGATTAGTGTTACTTCATTTATGTTCAGTGTGCTCCTACAACTTTTATAGGTCAAGTTATGTAACTTTGGTTTATTTTTTTTAAGCATTATTAGGGGGGATCGAGCAAGCAAACAATTCTCTGTACTGGTGTCTCTCCCCCTCGACCCGCGTTGCCTTTCTGTAATAGCTTTCATCAATGCAATCAAGCTTTCTTTCAATTCTCATTTTTGTTCTCTCAATTGTTCTTGACATTAGTTTTCCGTACGACACTGACAATCTCGTCTAGCGTACGGAGGGGACCTCAGTTGGCGGACAACAATTGCTGACATAAGTTGCTTAGTCTTACGTCGCCCTTCCAAGAAATCTCCGAAAGACGCCGCGTAACAGTACTCATGATACCATTATTATACAAGTATTATTACATATACTTGCTAATAAATTACATAATATACCATATCTGAAGCATCAGGATACAATTATTATACCAATATTATACATATATAAGACCTCCAAATAATATACACAAAAGTACATGAAATATCAAAACACTACCATTTTAGACAAGTAATACCTTTTTCTGTATTCAAATTATTGAATACAAGTATCTTGAATATAACGGATTGAGACCTGGGGAGTATTTCTATTTCAGTTACAGAATTTAATATTTTAGAACAAAAGTATAGGAAGTTAATCATTTGCGGTTGTACTTGTGTAATTCTCGGCTGGATTACTTTTATTTAGTAGAAGCTTTTATGATATGTTAATATTTAGTTGCCAAAAATGTTAATTAATGAATCCTGCTAAGATTTTGTAAAAAATTCGTAAATATTGCACTGTTATGTTTTTTTGACATTCCGGCCGTCCTATCCAATTTTTACGGTACGATGGTTGGTTGTTCACGGCCTAGCTGTACCTATCGTCTTTTTTCTTTGGGAGCAATATCAGCAATGTAGTTCATCCAACGATAAATTTAATCCGAATTATAGAGCTACGACACAATCAAACCCGAACGAACAAAATGTTGAATTAAATTGTACCAGTCTCTACTGGGGGTTATTACTCATTTTTGTACTTGCTGTTTTATTTTCCAATTATTTCTTCAATTAAGAAAACGAAAGAGAAAAAATAAGATTCTCTTAGCTCATTCGGAAGGATCTCATAATTTAATTGATTGGATAGTTTGAATTTTTGGTTTTCGGATTAAACAAAATGACAATCCAAATACATTCCAAATAAGTATGGATTTTTTAAATTCGGTTTCGGATTAATCGGTTTGGATATTTTCGATTTTGAGCTTATAAGTTGATGAATATCCAAATGTATATAAGGTTTGAATAGATTATATCGCTTACTATCGTTTTATGATGTCATGCACTAACAATACGAAGAATAAACTTGCAACATTACTAAGAAAATATAAGATACGAAGTAGAATTATTATATAAACAAATAGAATAAAGGATAAAATATGATTATTTAATAATAAAGAAGGGCAAAATGAGAAAAAAAAAACAAGAAAACAACACCACCGTACTAAATCCATTGTTCCATAAATTAACACTTTTTACTGTCATGTAAAATGAGATTAACTATACGATACAATAAATTTTAATTAAATATAAAAACAAATATTATATTTAAACAATCAGAAAATTGGCATTCCCGCCAAACCTATATATACTGCCCGCACCATTCCACGCTGAAGCAAATTCTCAAATGATTTACAGAACCATAGCATCCATAGCTCAAAGAGACAGAAGCTTCTTCGTGAGCCTAATAAACCAAGCCACCACACTCTCACAACTCAATCAAACTCACGCCCATTTAATCCGCCATAGCCTAAGCACTGATCTCATTACAATCACAAAACTCACTCACAAACTTTTTGACTTTAAAGCCATTTCTAAAGCCAAGAATTTATTCACCACCTTTAATAAAACTAACCCACCTGATCTTTTTCTTTATAATGTCCTCATTAGAGGCTACTCAAAAAACAATTTGCCTTTTGAATCTTTGTCCCTTTATTTACAACTTATCAAGAATACAACACTTAAACCTGATAATTTTACCTTTGCTTTCATCGTTTCGGCTTTTTGTTCAAATGAGTATGAAAAAGTTGGGATTTTGATTCATGGGCATGTGTTAGTTAGTGGATTTAGTAAAGATGTGTTTGTTGGGTCGGCATTGGTGGGTATGTACATGAATTTTTCAAGAATTAGTTATGCGTATAAGATGTTCGATGAAATTACTGAACGAGATGGTGTTTTGTGGAATACAATGGTTTCTGGGTTGGTGAAGAATTGCTGTTTTGAGGAGAGTATTCGGGTTTTTGGCGATATGGTTGCAAGGGGGATGAGGTTTGATTCTACTATGCTGGCTGTGGTACTTACGGCTGTTGCTGAGTTGCAGGAGTTGAGGAATGGAATGTCGATACATTGTTTGGTTGTTAAAATGGGTTATCATAGTCATGAGTATGTTCTTACTGGTTTAATTTCTTTGTATTCGAAATGTGGTGATGTTTCCGCGGCTAAATTGTTGTTTAGGATGATAAGAGAGCCGGATTTGATCTCGTGTAATGCGATGATTGCTGGTTTCTGTTTTAATAATGAGAATGAATCTTCGGTGAGGTTATTTAGAGAATTGCTTGTTCAGGGGGAGAAAGTTAATTCAAGTACCATTGTTGGTTTGATTCCTGTTTCTTGTCCTTTTGGACATCTGAACCTCATAAGTTCTATCCATGGGTTTTGTGTGAAATCTGGGATGGTCTCAAATCCTTCAGTTTCTACTGCTTTGACTACAGTTTACAGCCGGCTCAATGAAATGGAATTGGCTCGGAGGCTCTTTGATGAATCCCCACAAAAAAGCTTAGCTTCATGGAATGCCATGATATCTGGTTATGCCCAAAATGGGTTGACAGAAATGGCTATATCTCTCTTTCGCGAAATGCAGAAGTTGGACATACATCCAAATCCTGTCACAATCACGAGTATACTTTCTGCATGTGCTCAACTTGGAACATTAAGTATGGGAAAATGGGTCCATGACTTAATAAAGAAAGAGAAATTTGAGTCAAACATTTATGTATTAACGGCTTTAGTTGACATGTATGCAAAGTGTGGGAACATTGAGGAGGCGCGGCAAGTATTTGACAGCATCGGGGAGAAAAATGTGGTTACTTGGAATGCCATGATTTCAGCTTATGGTCTCCATGGACGTGGTCGAGAAGCACTGGTGTTGTTTGATGAAATGCTTGATTCTGGAGTTTCCCCAACCGGCGTCACTTTCCTTTGTGTATTGTATGCTTGTAGCCATGCCGGCTTAGTAGAAGAAGGTGAGAAATTATTCCACTCTATGATTCATGATCATGGCATTGAGCCTTTATCTGAACATTATGCCTGCATGGTGGACCTTTTGGGCCGAGCTGGAAAACTAGAAAATGCGTCGGAATTTATTCATAGGATGCCTCTTGAGCCAGGTGCAGCCGAGTGGGGTGCATTACTCGGTGCATGCATGGTCCACAAAAATATGGATTTGGCTCGCTTGTCTTCGGATAAGTTATTTGCGTTGGACATGGGAAGTGTTGGATACTATGTTTTACTTTCAAACATCTACTCAGCAGACCGTAATTATTTTCAAGCTGCTTCAGTTAGGAAAGTTCTTAAGAATAAGAATCTAGCAAAGACCCCTGGGTGCACTTTAATTGAGGTTAATGGACACCAGCATGTCTTTACATCCAGCGACCAGTCACATCCTCAAGCAGCGCCTATTTATGCAAAGCTGGAGGAGCTGATGGAAAAGATGAGGGAAGCTGGATTTCACGCCGAGACCAGCACAGCGTTGCATGATGTTGAAGAAGAAGAGAAGGAGTTGATGGTCAAAGTTCATAGTGAGAAGTTAGCTATTGCTTTTGGGCTTTTAACATCTGAACCTGGAACTGAAATCAGAATCATCAAGAACCTAAGGGTTTGTGTGGATTGCCATAATTTCACCAAGTTTGTCTCCAAGGTTACGGACAGAGTTATTGTTGTAAGGGATGCCAACAGGTTTCATCATTTCAAAGATGGAGAGTGTTCCTGTGGGGATTATTGGTAAATTGACTTTTTACTGCCAAGGATGTTTAGTCAGCGTTTTAGGAGCAATATGGAGGTTAATGGAGCCAGTTTGTGTTTACCTTGTGCATAGATCCACTTCTTATAGGAACAAGGGCAAGAGGATAGCTCAATCCATTTATCGCACGTGCAATTTCAAAGGTTTAAATTTTTCTGTGTCATTATTTGCTGTTTATTTCAAGTAGGCAACACGGTTTGGCTCATAAGGAAGGTTGAACCGAGAGGAATCTTTTGCTTGTAAAATACTGTTTTGAGTACAATGCAGTTTACAGAAGAGTGTAATCTCTTCTTTGGTCATGAAAACTGGTTGTATTCAGTGGTTTACATGATTTTAGTTTGTCTGGGCAAAATCAATAAATATCATCATACGTCGCAGATTTTATCCTTACATTAAGACAGCACTTGATATTGCAGGAACAGCAGTCTTTCATTTCTTTTTCCTTCCACCCCTTTGTTAGCTTTCGTGTTATGTTGACGAAATATAATCCATACAAATGTATAGAAGAGCAGGATATCAACTGAAAGTTACTTTGGATCAAATAGGCATAACTAGGTTGAGCTCTTACACACATTTTTCCTTACTCATATGATATCTCATTTCTCTTAATCTTATTTTTCCAAGTTGTCCTAAACCTGTGGTGCACAGGAAGTTGCTGAGGAGTCTATCTGCTTGAATTCGCAGAGGATTTGGCGAGAAAGGTTGCTTAAATTTGTCAGAGAACAGGCTCTTTAGGTACTAAATCCTCTCAAAACCTAAAGAAGTATCACTCATCTACTGTTATTTCATTCGCTGATATGCATCTTCAAGTGCCAAGTGTTATCTTCTTGGAAATTATGTTCTCTTAACTCTTTTAAGATAGGACGAGGGTATTTGGCACACTCAAATTCTTCATTCATTTTGACTTCCCTAAGATATTGCACCTGCAGATTTGTTCATTAAGCTCAAAACTTTTATAGCTAAAAGTTCTATCAAAACTCATAGCTGGTCACCAAAGTGGGAAAAAACTTAGCAGATTGTTCAAATACTTTCATTTAGCCATATGCAAAATCGAGTACAATTTCTACACTAAACAAAACTTCTCACACTAGGTTTATTCTTTTGTTTTCGTACTCCACTTTGAGGGATGTGCTCCAAAGAGAAGTATGAGCCAGCACGTCAGCAGTTGAGTCCACATTGCTTGACATCTGGTCCCTTGGTTTTGAGCACAAATGGATCAATTCGAACCCACAACAAGGAAAAGATGGAGGCTAAAAGTATTGACCATATGACAACAATGGTTGGGGTCCTGTTCTGCCTACCCATAAGACCCTTGAGGAATGGATATAAATGAACAATGACCCAAAAAGCAAAGAAAAGCTTTCCGAACAGGGGACCCCACGATTGGTATCCGTTGTTGATGGCATCAGAGATTCCGGCTACAACCCCAACCAAGTTGATTATGAGAATCGTCGTTGGAGGAATAAGGAGAGTAGTCCACTTGAAGGCATATAGCTCTCCAAAGTCGTCATCATCTGTTGCCTTAGATGTCACAGTAAAGTTGGTATCTATTCCCGCCAAAATCTTGAGAAGACCTTGCACTACAGCAAAAAGGTGGGCAGATATCCCTCCAATCACCCAAAATTGCTCATTTCTCCACCATTCCTCAATGCTTACTCCACTCCACCTTAGCTCGAGAATTCCCGTTGCAAAGATTGAGAGGAAAAGAGCGATGAAAAAGAGACTTGCAAAGGTGCTTATCTGCATCAATAAATTTAAGTTCAAATCAACTGAATAACTCAGAGAGCAAATAAGCTTGTGACATAAGTAGCTACTTAGTTGCAACTGGTGCTAGAAGCGTTCCTAATTTTCACTTATGGCCTTTAAGAAAAAAAATCGCATTCTTACCTCTGGCATTATGAACTTTCCAGTGAGCAAGCAGACAGCAGGGAGAGTACAGTAGGCAAGAAGAGGTAAGGAAGTGAAGGGGTATACGGTTGTGTTAACATATGATAATCGTTCAAGCCACTTAAGCTTTCCCCCCTTGTGACCATACCAAATTGGGCTGTGACGACTGAAAAAGATCTCAACGGAACCAAGAGCCCATCGAAGCACCTGGTTGAGACGATCTGACAGGTTGATGGGAGCGGACCCCTTAAACGCAGCTACTTTAGGCATACAGTAAACTGATCTCCAACCACGGCAGTGCATCTTGAAACCTGTTAAGATATCCTCTGTGATAGAGCCATAAATCCAACCCAGCTGCAAGTTGAAAAGCAGTTTCAACCAATCAAATGAGATATTCAGAAAGGTTATTACATTAGAGGTGGATTATGATTATTTATATATCTCAAGCTAGCTGCATATGTTACTGGTACAGAAAATATTAAGCATTTATATCCTCTTTAATTCACAAACTGAAATGTGCTTGTATCCATGCAATAGCATATTTTCTCTAACCACCGTTTCTTTTCGTTAGTTTTAGTTTGCTAAAGAGTTTCTCGAAGGTAATAGTCGAGCTATCAGAAGTACATCACACCACTTATTGATAATATTACCTCCAAACCCCATTCCGTTTTGTCTTCATAGCCACAGCTGATCACATGGATAGCTTCCTTTAGCAAGGCTGCTGGGCTCGATGAAGGAGGGACCCCGCCTTCAATCATTAAAGTTGAAGTCACAAAAATAGCTGACTGGCCAAATTTCTTTTCAAAGTTCATCTGGGACATTAGTAGCTCTTTGTCATCGTCAAATCCTGAGGAGAAAGAAGAAAAAGAAAATAAGGGGAAAAAATAATATCAAGGGGATCTTATTCAACATGCTGCTTGGGTTATCGTGAAAGTTGAAACTTAAATTTTTTAGAATATGATAATATATAAACCTTGACTATTTGCTGCATCTCCATTGACTTCACATTTATAACTATCAAGCTTCTTTTTGCGTCCGAAACATGGGCAACAGTCACAGCTGACCATTCTTGGACGCTTTGCACGTTTAGGAGGATTGTAGCCATATAAAGCTTGCCTTCTGAATACACATCCTGTCCCAACATATACTGGACCTTGTATTCCATCTAGGCCTTTCATGTTAATCTGCCCAAGTAATAGAATAAAGTTCACGATTAGCTAATCTCAAATGAGTTAAAGCAATTGACCATCACTTTATCCGTTTGCTATTAATTTTTTGTAAAAAACCTTGTCAGTTTTAATGTATGTATTTTGGCAGTGGCTTTATGTAGCATATTTTGCTGGATCTTACATCAAAGAAGACTGTGTTTCTGTTGGCATATCTATCGTGCCTGTCTATTCCATCGAATCTTTGAGGAAACTGGACGAAGCAAACTTTTTTGCCCATTTGTGGATCCATTAAAAAGCACATGGCTTCTCTGGAAGCCTTGCTGTTGTTAAGGTAGTGATCACAGTCCAAGTTAAGCATAAATGGTGCATTGGTAAGAACTCCTGAAACACGAACCTGCAAAGTTGACATCGAGAAAATATTTTGTCATTCTGCAAAAATTCTTGTCAAGATATCTGATATAGTGCGCATAATGTTTCCAAGTAAATGTGTAACAATTTTGACATGTCAGTATGTTTACCAGGGCATTCATGGCGCCGGCCTTTTTGTGATGCTGGAAACCAGGCCTTTTTTCACGAGAAACATAAACAAGACGAGGGAGTTCATTTCCTTCAACATCAGTTCCTCCACTTTGGCCTAAAAAGACTTGAATCATACCGGGATGGTCCCTTGTATTATTTCCTGGCCACGGTGTTCCATCTTGCATGATCCATCCTCCCGGAGGCATTTTAGTTGCTTTGGCAACTAGTGCATTGATTCTAATTTTGAATTCTTCATACTCTCTCTGTCAAGTACAATAACGTTTGTGAATTCGTGACTTGGAAAAAGTTTTATATAGCACTAAGCTGCTGATGAAATCGAGAGTTCAAGCTATACCTTCATTGCTCGTCTCTCCTTAACAAATGTTGGCTGGACTTTGTCCTTGAGATAATCCATTTTTTGAGAGAAGTAAAACTCTGGTGCTCGAGGCTCTATAGCAAACTTCTTGCAGAAGGGAACCCATTTTCTAGCAAATTCTGCAGTTTCTGATAGTGCTTCAAAGGTGCACATTGAAGCTCCATCATCAGATAGGTAGCATGAAGTTTTGTCAACAGGGTAATCCATTGCTAATATTGAGAGGATAGTATTCGCCGTAACAAGAGGAGGTTCCTTCATAGGATCCACTGTACTGACAAAGATATCGACGGGGGCTAACATGTTTGGTTCTCCTTCTCTCTCATACCTACATAAAAAAATTGGTGAAATATGTATTTCTCTAGTGGTAAAGTTTTTATCTTGAAAAGTTTGTTCCAACTTTTAAGAAGCAACTCGGACAGTGATTTGACTTGTAGTTGTAAAAATTTGTAAATATGATTTGTCATAGTTTCTCTTCTAGTATATTTTGCCTGAATGTAAGCTCTTCCGTGTAACTTTGATGTGGTTCTATTAGTATCTAAACTTGTACATAGAGTATGACATATTTTTACGAAAACAAGGGTCATACATTGGTAATACTCAATTGGTTGTATGTCCATGCTTAAGCAGGACAATATACTTGCAAAGTATTGTCACCTGAGAGAGAGACGATCGAGGTAAGTCTCACGGTCGATTGGGAACCATTTGGGGAACTGATCAAGGATCCAAGAGAAGGCAAACCAGATCTCACAGATGATAGAAGTTAGCCAGAGACCAATCGCGTCATGCACTGGATTCAGAATTCTGTAACGTAGGAAGATGGCCAGAATAAACAGCCTAGCCACAATCACCATCCGGTAAGGATTGATCTTGCTTGATGCTATTGGCACTTTTCTTGACAAAGGCTGTCTTGCTTCATCCACCCTGCATTTTCTCACATCGATTAGCTGAGAGCATGTTGCAGTTTGTATTACAACTATTTTTAAGCATTGAATTGATGGGTTATAAAAGAAATCACTGCAATCTAGTGAATCTAATATGCATTATTAACTATTAAGCTACAAGAGTAGATATACTACAAAATTCTTACTGACTATAGGTTTCTATACATGAATAAACGCCTTTTCATTTCAACTAATTCATTCTTACTGCTACTGGCATGAACTTGTTATATGTACTCCTTTCACTTCCATTTATGTGGATGTGAATGAGAAAAGAGGGTGAAATTTAACTAGTCAAGTGCTAGTATTTGTATCTCCAACCTCAGGAAATAACCAAGCTAGACCGAGTAGGGGTTTGAATCTATCTCTTCAAAAGGGCTGAACACCGTGCAGTCCCTCCTTTTAGCCTAGAGGAATTTTTTAAAGAACTTTATGATGAATTAACGGATGGCTGGACAATGAGTGATGAACCTGTAGAAGTGGTAACTATGGGTGAGAAAAGTCTTCATCCCGATCTAGATGTGAGCATTTTTGTTCATTTGCAATTCCCATGCCTCAGTATTATGATTCAAGCTATGTACTTGCATAATGTTTTCATGTTAAAGTTCAATGTTAACTACTTACATGGCCATATCAGGGTCAGCATAGTCATCATAATCTTGCCCCAGATTTCCTTGCTGCAATTTCCAATCATCCATTCTTTCTTTCCACCCTCCCTCTTTCTTATCATCCCATCTTGCACTTCCAGGTTCGGAAGCTGGATACGGATGTATCCTTTTGTGAAGGGAAGATCCCAACATCTGCTCTCCGTTTGCATGACTTGATATCGGGAATTCACCACTAACCTGTATCCATGAAATGCATTCATATCCAAGGTATTCAAAAAAATTTCTTATCTTAGAAATTCTTGGACTGAGATTTTACTATTCATACCGGATGTGAGCGGATTCCAGCGATGACAGGAGGGTACTGAGCAGAATCTTCATCTTCTGGTCCTCGTCCATAGGTCATCTTACCATGTAGAATGGTCTCAACAATGTTTCTATTCCTGTTTTGCTCATCATCAATTTTGAATTCGTGTTCAATATCGTCAATATCTTCCTCATCTTCATCTCCCGCCACCCTTGGACTCCCTTCAAGCCATCAAATACAATTAAAAACGACACGAACAACCAGAACAAGTGTGCGTGGAAGTGAATGTTAATTCATCAAGGTGTATGTGTATATACCTTTGAGGCGTTTGTATCTGGTCTTGCACTGTGGACACTGTTGAGTTCCTTCCCTTCTCTCATACTCGTAGCACGGCCTGCACACAGGGAAACCACACTCATTGCAGGCCACAAAGAGATCACCATCCACTGTTAGTCCTATTTCATCCCCACATATCTCACAAACTTGTCCACTCAAATCCTTCAATGGCTTATGCTGCACCAAATATAGGACAAGAAAGAAAGTTAGATTCGGACGAAAAAGAAAAGCAAAGTCATCTTTTCCTTCTCTATATTTCATATTGAACATAAAGATATAATTAAATGTAACATTGTGAGGGGTCGTTTGGTACAATGGTGGGATATCTTTGGATATCCCATGAGATTAGTTATCCCACCTTTTGTATGAGAAAATTAATCCCACCATTTTCGTGTAAAAGTTGTCCCGGGATTAGCTAATACCCCAAACCAAACATGGGACAAAATTAATCCCAATTCTATCCCGAGATTATTATCCTTATCCCATGTACCAAACGACCCCTAAGATTACTTCTATGCATGCACTTCAATGTTAACTTTGGACATTCCAAAAGAATGTTCCAGACATAACTACCTCTTCATGGCCATGAATGACGACGAGCTCGTTCCGGTTATGCGAACCAGCGACAAGACCGGCACTGGCTTCCATGTCAGAGGGAGGTGGTGGATATGATTCTAGTGAGAAATGGAGGGTGATGACAATGGTATATATGGTTTAAGGTTTACTTTTTAAATGAAAGAAAGAATGATGGAAGGTAAACATTAGTAGTGCTAGTGTCATTTTCTATGTATCTTTCTTGTACCTAATATATGTCCATTCTATGGAAGATGTGTTGGTTGCAGAGTCTTCATTGCCTTTAAGCTAAGCTTCCTCAGTTTTTCAACAACCATGCATATTCTTTTTCTCTGTCTCCAACAGAATTTGCTAGTATGGCCAGCTTCTTTGCTTAAGCTTTTCCTTTGGTTGGTTATTTTTGTCAANATTTTGTCAAATTAGCTCCACTATTTTCTTATATTGTGTAATGGTCCTTTACTTTGAGAATTACTATTATGGATCATTAATTTCAGATATGGCTTTTATTCAAATCATGATTAGTATAAAAGAGTTTTCTACTCTCTCTCTCTCTCTCTCTCTCTCTCACACACACACACACACACAGATTTGCTAGTATGTCAGCTCTTTGCTTAAGCTTTTCCTTTGGTTGCAAATTAGCCCCTAGGTTTTTCTAATATTGCTTGAATGGTCCTTTTACTTTTGAGATTAACTGTTTTGAATCATTAATTTCAGATATGGATTTTATTCAACTCATGATTAGGATAAAAGTTTTTTACTTATTAGTAAGTCAAATTTCTTTCAACCGGAAAGCACACATTAATTTGTAATTTTGGAAGTATTTTATTGATTGGAATCTAGGCTTTTTTTTCTTCTTCTTGTCGTTAAAAGAAGCTTTTTTATGACAATATTTATAGAAGTGGAATATATAAGAAAATTGCATAAGTTGGGGGTATTATCACTTTTAGTCCGCGCCAGAAACTATTTACATCTAGTAGCCGAAAACGTGTATAAAATTTGTATATTTTTTTATCATATAACATACAAAATGTGTGTGTACTAGTTTTACAGTACGCACGTTGCACGTGTACCTTATCTCAATGAGTAGAAAATTAAAATAAATTACATAAATATTAGTATTAAAAAGGTATCAACAGAAGATTAGAAGTTGTGTTTGATTGAATGTAAAAGAGTCGTTCAACTTTACATGAGCACTTAGGTACATATCATGCATGTATATTTAATGTTAGTTATTAATATTTGTGTATGATGATTTACAACAATCAAAAATCCTTTTCCCTCATTCTACTCAGGTTATGAGAGTGCTAAAACTTGTTCGGAACTTTTACATTTTTTTAGTAGAAAAAAGGCTCTGTAACCTAAAAGAAGTAACTGTTTAAAACTTTTCTAATATAAATTTGCAGAATTAATTTGTAAAAAATTTATTAACAACAAAAAGGGACTTCTAAACCTAAAAGGAGTACAAGATGATTGGCGGTGTTAATTTTTAGAATACAAAAGCTTAAATTTCTTAACATTAAAGCTAATTTCAAATTCTAACGAACGATATTTCGCTAAGCGCCTTCGTGCTTTTAATATAGTATAGATATATATAGATTAAATATCTTCTAAAAAGTTATGTCAGATTATAACAAAAAAGAAGAAGAAAAAAAGCCACTTACCTTATTGCAAATAAATAACTATTATTTTTAAACCTAATAGTAGATACTATTTGTTGGAAAGTAGAAACAATTTTATTGAATCAAATTTTCTAGCTAAAAATATAAATATCAATGAGGTTCTAACTTTGTAAATATTTATGAATTAAATATTATAAATAACAAAATTAATGTCTAAACCTAGTAGATGCTGTTTGTAGAATATATATATATATATNAATTTTCTTGAATTGTTCTTATGTGATTAAAATACAATAGCAGAGGTTGATCTAGTAAATCAAAAAAATAAAGAATCAATAAGTGTTGGAGTTTCCATGTCTGAAACAACTTTCTGTAATCTTTTTTCTCTGTCTTTTATTTTCCTGATATCTTGCGTCGCTATTGGGGAAGATTAAATACCAATAAGATTAGACTTTTAAATTATATAATACACATAAGAGTTATAAGATATAAAACAATAGATACTTTATCGACGAATATTGGCAAGAGCGCTCCCATTTGAATATCACATATTATATTATATTCATGTTATCTTGTTTAAATAAGAAAAAGGATTTTTATATGGTAAGACTTAATTAATTTTAAAGTCCTATATATTAGGAATCCTTACAAAGTAATACAAATAATGAAAATGTCAATACCTAAAATTTAGTTGATTTTGATGCCAATGACTTTTTTATCCGATGCGAACTCTAACTTTAAAGGGTAAAAAAAGCGAACGACATTTCGCTAAGGACCTTCGTGCTTTTAATATAGTATATATATATATATATTATACATTTTTCCGGCTGTTATTTTTGCAGCATTGTTATTTTTCCGGTTTTTTAAGGTAAAAGTCACGATATAAATATCAGTGTGAAAGAAATCGAAAAACTGAAGTTTTTATACTAGTATTTTTATACTGTACTAAATAACTTTATAACTCAAATCGTATCCAACAATACCTTAGAGCTTATCTTTAAAAAAATAATCACATTCAGTGATGTGATAGTAACAGTTTAAAATCATATTTAACTTGTAAAAAAATGCTAACCCATTTATTTAGTAATTGTTAAACAAAATAAATTGCAAATGAAAAACTACCGGGAAGAAATAATTGTATATCAGCCTATTATGGATGAGATAATCAATATTTTGAATACTTTGGACCCTGACTTTGTCTTTTTTCTTCTTTTTTTCCTTAAAAGCATTACTGGCTACTATTCATATTATTAGAGGAAATGTTATAGTATACAAAATTAATACTCCTTCGTTTCATTTTATATGATGAATGATCGTGTTTGACGGACTCATAATTAGATATTAATTAGTAATGATGGAAGAATATTCTAAAATAGTGGTCGAAAAAGAGAAACATATTCCATTAATGTTAAGATATGAATACTTCGATAATTTAATTTCTTGAAAGTTGCAAAAGTCGTATAGATTAGAATAATGTTAGATATTTTGAGAGTTAATAAAACGAAAAAAAATATCATATAATTTAGAAGCGAAATGGACATTTCAAACTTAGCGAACCGAAAAATCTTAGCAGTTAAAAGGAAGAAAATAACCGCGATTAAATATCTTTGAAATCGATCCTATATTTTAGGTGCCAACAAGAAATATCGTTAGAGGATGCTTAGGCTGCAAGTACTTCTATATAAAGTTTCCCACAAAATAAGCTATTGAAAGTGTGGCTAGAAAACTAATTGATGGCTCATCATTCTGATAGGGAAGTCCCTCCTTTGGTATAAAACTCTAACCATACAAAAATGAAAAGGAGAAAAAGAGAGTACCCAAATTCTCTCTTTTTTTGGTAAAGGTCGTATTGTGTCCGAGCCAGCTTGCGCATTTCTGACTGGATATTTGTTACTTCCCACCAGTATAGGTACCGGATAATTTCATTCATCACAACCAACACAAGAATTGAATAACTCCATTCAGTATAACTTAGAACCATTCTCCTCTTCATCACTTTGGCCTGGAGCTAGTCTAGGGTGTAGGTGCATAGGCTCGGATCGGTGGCAAGCGATCCCTCTCCTTATTTGTAGTAGGGCGATTGGATGGGAAGGGAACACAAGTCTCATTCTACTTGGGATTCTGTATTTGGAGATACAGAGCGGGGTCCTAAATAGCATGATGTCTTCGTCTGGAGCTTCCGGCCTATGGTCCATTCTACCTTTAATTGACCGATAGGCCACACCCTTAGAGAATATTCAAATTCCTCAGGTCACCGCGTGAAATATAACAAGTGAAGTAAAGCTCAACTTACTTCAACTTTACCTATTAGATGTTACTACAAAAACTTGAATGTTTCTTGCTACTGTTACAGAGACTACACAAGTGTATATCCTATTACAGGCTTGTATTTGACTAATTCTATACAAGACATATATCAGGGTGGCATCTCACATTTCACTTTAGAAACATATGCATATGATTATCTGCTAATAAATTCATCTGATGCTCAAACACTGGCTGAGACTTCAGTTGCTGATTTTTCCTTTTTCTTCGGTTGCTCTTGACCTTTCTGTACAATAGCCTTATTCGGTACCAAAACTATGAACATGTTCCTATCCCTGAAACTTTTGTTCTCCTCGGTTGCAAGCTGCGAATGGCACACCATAATATAAGACGTTAACTAGCCGGAGAGGGAAAAAGAGTTAGATTACTACTTCACGCGAACTAATTGAAATCCTGCATGCACCAACTTACCTCGCCAATGTCATTCTGGAAACGCTTTATTAGCTCAATAGCATTATTTCTGAACTCATTTTCACGACCTTTTAAGTTTACTATGATTTTTACCTGCAGTAGTTACCATTAAATAATGTTTAAATATTAAATCATCAAATTCGCTAAAGCACTTGCATGCTGAAATACAAGATTCTGAGCTACCTTGTCGCCATCTTTCAAAAACTTCTGGGCAGCTCTCAAACGCACTGAATAATCATGAGAATCAATATTGTAACTGCAATAATATTCAAGAAAACTTTTCAGATAACAGGAAAGGAGGCCAAAATAAACAAGAGAGGGAAAATAGGATAAGAGATGTCACGTATTACTCCCTTCGTCCCAATTTATGAGGCACCCTATGACTTGAAACGGAGATTAAGAAAGAAATAAAGACTTTTAAACCTTGTGGTCTAAACCAGGCCTTTGACATTTGTGTGGTTATACATCATCTCATTAAGGAAAAAGGAAGTTATAGTGTTTCTAAATACAAAAAGGTGGCATTCTTCCCAAAAGGATGGGCGAGTTTGGTTTGAATGTTCATCGATCGGGTGGATCTATATGCTTCGGGGTGGTGAGACAAGGTGTAGCACAGTCTGGTCAGCGCATCTGTTTTGGGTACAGAGGGCCCCTTTAGTAGGTGATTCACTACTGAAGCGAAGAAAAGGCTGGATCAATCAAAGGGGTACTACGAGCCCTCTGCCCCATTTGGAACAGATTAAAAGGGAAAGAGCGTGTGTCACATAAATGTGACGACTCGGCCGGTCGTCTTAAGAATTAACGCCCCGATCCCCTATTAACTGCTTCCCCCGAGTTTATTTCTGCTATTTTGATTTGCCGGGATGTTCGGTTTTAAGTTTTGGGACACTTAGTCCCTAAATGAGAGCTTAAGTGTGGGATGGTTGACCGTAGTCGGAACAGTGCGAAGACGGCCTCAGAATGGAAATCTGATGGTTCCGTTAGCTACGTTAGGTGATTTTGGTCTTACGGGCGTGTTCGGATTGTGTTTTGGAAGCCCGTAGCTAACTTAACCTTGAAATGCCGAAAGTTGAATTTTTTAAGTTTCCGGTTCGATAGTGAGATTTTGATCCGAGGGTCAGAATGGAATTCCGAGAGTTGCAATAGTTCCGTCATGTCATTTGGGATGTGTGTGCAAAATTTCAGGTCATTCGGAGGTGGTTTGGTTGGGTTTTTGATCAACAGCGGAATTCGGAAGATTTTAGAAACTTAGGCTTGAATCCGATGTGTTTTGGGGAATTTGATGTTGTTTGAAGTGTTTTGAAGATTGGTACAAGTTTGAATAAGGTTTTAGGATATGTTGATGCCTTTGGTTGAGGTCCCGGGGGTCTCGGGTGTGTTTCGGATGCTCAATGGATCATTTTAAGTTGTTAAAAAGTTGCAGATTATGTTCAGCTGTTGCAGCGTTCACGAAGGGCTGGATACTTGTGAACCGCATTCGCGATTAGGCTTCGTGTTAGCGTAGGACGAAAATTGGCCCAGTAGAATTTACTCATCGCGTTCGCGATGAGAGGAACGCGTTCGCGAAGGTTTGTCTGGGTAAAGCATCGCGTTCGCGAGGGCCTTGTAGCGTTCGCGTAAGAGGTTTTTGGTCAAAGTCATTTTTGTGCTTTGCGAACGCGAGGCTTTGACCGCGTTCGCGAAGAATGATTTAAATGTCTGGGCAGAATGTTTTAAAAGGTTTATTTCGCGAATTTTAGCCTAGTTTCCTCCATTGTTAAGTGATTTTGAAGCTTTTTGAAGAGGGTTAAAGAGGGATTCAAGGGGAATCACTTGGAGGTAACATTTTTGACTTCATAACTCGTTTTTATGTGATTAAATACCTGATTAGTGGTGGAAAATTTGGGAGAAATGGGTAATTAGGGCTTGAGTTTAAGAGACCCAAAAAGGGGTATTTGAGGGGTCAATTGAACTCCGATTTTAGTGTTCTTGTTATGCATAGACTCATGAGAGTATGAGGATTCCGAAAATATAAATTTTACCCGATTCCGAGACGTGGGCTTGAGGGGCGTTTTGGTCATTTTACCTAATTTCGCGTATTAGCTTAGAATTTAATATGCAATTGAATTGAATAGATTTGGGCCATTTGGAGTCGGATACTCGTGGCAAAAGCGTGGTTTCGGGTTGACTTGCGCTTGTTCGAGGTAAGTGGCTTGTCTAACCTTGCGTGGGGGACTTTTCCCTTAGGATTTGGTATATTTGTTAATTGAAATGCCTTGTACGTAAGGTGACGAGTGCGTACTTGTGCTAATTGTTGGAAATCCGGTTTTTATTAAGTACTACTAGTATGTTTACTTCCCTGTTTAGTTCTTGTACTATTTAAAGCATGTGTTAGCTTAGTAAAAGCATGCCTAAATAATTAAATTGCCTTAATTGTTTAACTGCTTTACCTGAAGTCTGTGCAGCATGCTAGGCTAGACTAATTGTTTGCCTTAATATGAAGTTTGATAGTTTTCTGAGCATTTCTCCAGTTGTTGTTGTGTGATTACATTGGGACTACGGATGTGGGATTCCGGTAGCTCCCCCCTTGTCTGTTTATATTTGAGACTACGGATGTGGGATTCCGGTAGATCCCCCTGCACAGTTATATGGAACTACTGGAATACACCCGATAGATTCCCCCAGTACTGGGTATTTATGTTTGGGACTACGGAACGGGATTCCAGTAGATCCCCATGTACTATGAGCTGGACTATGGGGCGGTATCCCGAGAGACTTATTGGATATGTATAATTGGGACTTCAGGACGGTATCCTGGATGATCCCCGGTTGATATTGTTGTAGTTGAGCTGTATTTTCCTTCGGGGTTTACATTGTTACTGTGTAGTTGTTGTTGTCCTTTATATCTGTGTTACTTTCACTGTTGCTCATACTTATACTGTTTTCTGTTCTATACAGTCGAATTATATCTTTTATTTAACCTCAGTAGGGCCCTGACCTTCCTCGTCGCTACTCAACCGAGGTTAAGCTTGGCACTTACTGAGTACCGCTGTGGTGCACTCATGCCCTTTCTGCGCATGTTTTTCATGTGCAGATCCAGGTACCTCTACTCAGGCTTATCATTCTTGAGGCGAGGCGATTCTACGGGACTTCAAGGTATATATGCCGCGTCCGCAGACCGAGAAGTCTCTTTCTATTCCTGCATTTAGTATTTAGCCCTTCTGTACTTTCTGTTCTTGTTAGACATTCCAGATATTAGAGCTATGTAGTATTTTCTTAGCTTGTGGATCCGTGAGTTTCCGGGTTTTGGGATAGTGTATCAGATTTTGAGAAGTTATGTGTATATGCCGAGCGACATTTAAATATTGTTTCCTTCAGTTATTTTCGGCTTTTGATTATTTATTCTGCAAGTGTAGTTTAATTCCCGCATTTGTTAGGCTTACCTAGTTGTAGAGACTAGGTGCCGTCACGATAGTTCACGGAGGGCGAACTAGGATCGTGACAAGACAGAGTTAGTAGTAATGATTAGCACTACAACGCAAAAGATGTGACCCACTAGGGTTACTGGTCTTTTAATTCAGAGAACATTGGCATGGAAGCAGTTACCATGAGTTAAACCTAACAATATAACTAACTTTTCTTCCTGGCAAATATGTCAAGCAACTTAACTAAAACCAAGGGAACTACAATATTCGAAATTCCCTTTTTACCATTGAGAAATCCTATTAACACCAGAGAAATGGCAAGAAAATTTCAAGCACTTTTTCATAGAGGCCAAATATTAACAGAGCAGCAATCCCTTCAGAGACAGAGGAAAGGGTTACATACTACAATTGTTGACATAAAAGAGTAGCGAGCAGATGAGAAGAACCGTTTCTGAAGACTTACGACTCTGAAAGAATAAAAAATGCAAGACTTATGGTGTGTGAACAAAATCCTATGTTCTCTCTATCTTCTCCAAAACTCTGAAATTTCAGGACTTCACTCTCTTACCTATCAAGGAAAAGGTTTTCATGGTCCATTTCTTTAGTCAAGCCAAAGCAGATGTGACTTATATCTCTCTGTTAACTTTTCAGTCTGATTGTTATTTTAGCAATTTACTCGTCAGTCTCATTTTATATTGATCGAAATGTCAACCTAATTATTAATACTAAATAACAACACAGAAAAATTAGTTTACATTCAGAAGGTACGATCAACAAAAAAGTACAAAAAGACTTCTATTGTTAAAGAATGCTCCCATTTTTAACTTACCCCATTTTGAGCTCCTTCAAATCCATGCGGCTGGCTGTAATTGAAAAAAAATCGTCGGTAAAAGGAAGTTAGTACGGAGTCTCTACTTCAAAAGAAAAGCAAACCTCTAAAAGGCAAGACATTTACCAGCATTTTTCTTTTGCTGCTCCTTTTTCTTCTTTTGCAGTTCATACTTATACTTACTGACAAAAGATAAAGCATAATATCAATACATTGATCTTTAAGCAACTCAAAATAGTAAGATAACCATGAACAAGATATTCCTTCAGCATACAAACTATCTAAATTTGATATGGAGATAATAACTTGCACTATAATGTAATCATCAAGCAAAAATAGCACAGCATATACCTACGATCACAGCTTCTAACCCGCCTTATTCAAGTCAAATAGTATGCTTTTGAAACTTGCATGGTTCTATATGATTTTCACAGTATCATACAAGCTCGGCTTCCGGTTTAAGAAATATTCTTAACCCAGTTTGGTAAAAAAGAGTCAAAAGTCAAGCTCAAGCAGAATGTATTTGATGATTTTACTCTTTCAATTCTACTTCTCTATTCTATTCCCTGAACACAAGAAAATATTATACAACCCTACGAAATAGTAAACACTCTTAAATCTTATACTAGTAACTATTTCATGTAAAACTGGGACTAGCGAAACAGAACAAAGGGCTTGACAATTACTCCTATTAGATGTGTCAAGCTACAAATTACAACCTTAATGACTCATAAAACTTATACCCAAATTCCACACACGTGTAATTAGATCGTTCCAGGAATCAAGAAAAATCTGTCATAATTGAAGTTTAGAGACCAAAAAATTCTGATGGATATATCTTACTTGTAATCCATCATTTTGACAACCGGCGGATCTGCTTCTGGAGATAGAATCACCTACAAATATCCACCAAAGAAAGAATAATATAATCAAACCAATATTAACTTTATCCTAATCAGTATTCTGGATAAGCTATTCTTCCTCTAGCTCAACCTAGGATAGAACTTCTGTTGACCACTAAATAAGCATCAGTTTGCATTTCAATTTTTTTCCTGCAAGTACTGTATTCCCTTCTAAACAGGGGGGGATCCACCGCTATGGTACAGAGTTCCTCTGAACTCAATATTGTCGACGTGGAGCATAAATTTATGTGTAAAAATTTACTAAAATTACAATAAATAATAGATATGAACACATTACTTTAAAAATATAGTGGTTCATGTGAAGAACTCTAAACGTTGGACCCATAGAGTTTAAATCTTAGATCCGTCTTTGCTTCTAACTACACCTAATAACCCGAAGCAATATTATTCTTATCTTCCTGTAACCCCCCACCCCAAAAAAAATACCAGTACAGAGTATATTATCTTTCTTCTTGGAGCTTCGTAACTGCAGTCAACTTTGCCTAGTTTAACACTTATAACTGTATATTTTTTACCATCTTTTGAATAAAATTCTTTTCTTGACTCCACATTCTTTTTTACCATACAACACAAGATTACTAGCACAAACGCCGCGCAATAGAGGAATACATTATCACAGTTGAGGGATACTTTATTATCCCCATAAGCCCAAAACTTGAAGAAAAAAGTTACATACAATCAATTCAGTCTTTCAAGGACATACCAAGTCAAGGCTTGCATCCTCAGCTTTCTGAAGAGCTTCCATTTTTGACACTATCCCCAACTACATAACAAAAACCAATGAGAAAAAAATAATCAATAATCAATAAAATTTTCTTAAACCAACACAAAAAAGCAAATATGAAATTAGACTAACCATGTTCTGCTTTTCATCAATGAGCCTAACCTTGTCTGACCTATTTCAAAGCACCACAAAAAAACTAAAAAAGTTAACATCTCTAACACAAGCCCAATACATTTTAACATTAAAAAAAAAAAGAACATTTAATATCACTATAACTAAGAAAACCAAAAAAAAAAGGACATGAATTTCCTCTAAACATTACAACAAGCTGAGCGCACAACAGAAGAAACTAAAATAAAGTTAACATATTTAACAAGAACCTAATACATTTTAAAATTAAACAAAAACATTTACTATCAAAATAACCAAAAAACTCTATTAAAAAGCAAAATAGATATAAGAATTTCACATAATGTTACTCAAGCTGAGTGCATAACAAAAGAACATGTGGAATACCTGATAGAGGAAATATCAAGGGCTTCATCATCATCAGAACGTGGGGGCGGCCGGAAGTTACCACGGCCGCCTCCACCGCCGTAGCGGGCGGAGACAGTGGCAGCATAATAGATAAGGGAGGAGCAAGAACGGAGCTGAGGAAGGTGAAAACGGAGGCCAAAAAGAGAAGAATTAAGGGAAGGAAGAAAAAGGGGTTTAGTATTTGGTTTAGAGGAAATGGTGGGTGTGAGAGTGAAGGTGGNAGAGGAGCAAGAACGGAACTGAGGAAGGTGAAAACGGAGGCCAAAAAGAGAAGAATTAAGGGAAGGGAGGAAAAGGGGTTTAGTATTTGGTTTAGAGGAAATGGTGGGTGTGAGAGTGAAGGTGGCAAGACCCGCCATGGATGATGGTGGGTGGGTGAGTGGGTGGTTTTACAGAGAGAGTTAACACACAGTGTGGTGGATCTTATCCATAGGTGCTTTTGCTCCTGAGGCTTGGCTACAAGTCTTTTTCTTTGGTGACATTGAGGGGGTGGCCCAAAGCATCTAACCCGCTCAATCCAGACACTAATGGGTCCAAATTAACCCATTATATTTTATGTAAAAATAGCATGGTATAGTCAGTTTTTGGACTGGTAATTTAAAAATAGTCACCGTTTACGAAGTTAATAAAAAATAGGCACTATTTTGCTGCAACAGAGACCGGTCCCGCATAATATACGGGAGTTCGTGCATCTGTGTACGAACTCCAGCATATTATGCTGGACCGTTATACTTTGCTGACTCTTGTATAATATACGGGACACTGGAGCGTCGGTGCTCCAAACTCCAGTATATTATACTGGACATTTATACTTGCTGCTGGAGTTCTAGTGTACTTATGCTGGAACTCCAACATATTATGGTGGAGTTCCAGCATAGTTATCCTGGAACTCCCGTATAATATGCTGGAGTTCCAGCATAGTTATCCTGGAACTCCCGTATAATATGCTGGAGTTCCAGCATAAGTTATGCTGGAACTCCAGTATAATATACGGGCGTACTTTCCGGGTTTTGAACAGTGTTTTTGCTCAGATTTATCTTTACATGAAAAGTGGCTAAATTTCGATTACTTTTGAAACTGGCTATTTTTGAATGACCAGTTGTAAATCTGGCTATTTTTAAATTTCTCCCATATTTTATAGCCTATTCTGACCCTTAAGCAGCCCAAATACAACCCATTAAACTCACCCAAAACAAAAGATATCTCAACCCAACTTATATAGAAATTTATTTAGTTGTCCCAATTTTACTTTTTTTTTTGTATTTTCAATTTTATGTTCTTTTGTTTTTCTACACCATCCATACCCCACCCCCGCAAAACCCTTCCCCTCAAAAAAAATTTATCTTTTTTTTTTGTATTTTCAATTTTCTGTTTTTTTTCCTGCACCAACCATCCCCGCTCCCCCCGTAAAAACCCCCTCCCCTAAAAAAATTTACTTTTTTGTATTTTTAATTTTCTATTTTTTTTTCTGCAAACCCCTCAAAAAATAATTTACCTTTTTTTATTTTTAGTTTTTTATTTTCTATTTTTTTTCGTTTTTTTGCACTACTCACCCTCCCACTCCACCCCTACCCCAACCCTCCAAAAAAAAATTCAACTTACACATTTTTAGACTTTTTTTTATTAAGATGAGCATGGTTCTAAAACATGGGTCAAGTTGGGCGGGTTGGGTTATGACCCATTGTTTAACCCATCTTGACCCAACTCATCTTAGCCCAAATACACTTTGAGCTGGGTTGGGCAATGACCCATTTATTAACCTAACCCATTTTGACCCGCCCAAATTCAGCCCAACCCGCCCATTTGACACCCCTAAGTACATATAGGTAAAGATCACTTCAGGCTATTTGTGACCTAAAGACAGTGGACTTGGGCCTGATGATAAAGTCGGATTGTTGACACAGCAGAGTAGAAAGCCCAATATTTACCGGGCTGAGCTATCACATTAGCATTTGCCCAACTTCCCCGAAACCCTACTATAAACTTTCTAGTGTTTTAACGCAGCAGACAGCAGCAAAGACTCTTCTCCGCCGAAGGTGAACTACTCTCTCCTTATTCTCTCTATCATTATTTACAAACACAAAAATCATGCGAAATGTATTGTTTTAAATATTAAATTCAGTGCAGCAGGTGAATAATCGGGGCAGAAGAAGAAATGATGCAGGTGTAGTAGTTGCCCCAGTGGATGTGCCCCAGTGGATGCAAGCGCAAAGAATAAGGTTCACAACGATGTTATGATTTTCAATCGCTGGACCTACGACGATGTTCAGGTACCTTCCATTTCTCTTAATTCCTTTTAAGTAACTCATTTTTTCATAATGACATATTTATTGCTGCTAAAAACTCCTTCCTTTTCCTAAAATCAAGCTGAATGTACTTCCTTTAAATTATACTATGTTGCTCCACTTAGCACTAGAAGTTCTTTACAATTTATTTGTTGCTATATAGATATCTCTACAAGACTGAGAGGTTTCTAGCAATAATTTGTGTCACTTACCTATGTAGATCCTTTGCCATATTATTCGTTCATCTGCACTGAATCCAAGATATTTACGTCTTTTTGGACTGCGCATGTCCATGTGATTTTAGGTTTATCCGTCTCTATTTAGATGATGTTCACTCAGCATGGTTGTGTCATGACCCTGGTTCGCCCTCCGTGAACCATCGTGACGGCACCTAGTCTCTACGACTAAGTAAGCCTAACTTTGCGGAAGATAACCAAACTTGCGAAAGTAAAACAATTTAAAAACAAAAATAAAGTAATAACAGTGTATAAATGTGTCGCTCGGCATACACCATGTTTAACTCTCAACACCAATCATAAATCCAAGACCCGAAAATCCATGAATCACAAGCTAAGAAAGAAATACTACATAGCTCTAACTCCGGAATTTCTAATAAAGAACAAAGAAGTACAGAAGGGTTAAATACTACAAGCAGGAATAGAAAGGGACTCCTTGGTCTACGGACGCGGTAGATGTACCTCGGAGTCTCTAAGCAATCGCCTCCCTCAACGATAGTAGGCCTGATCAGCGGCATCTGGATCTGCACATGAAAAACATGCGCAGAAGGGGCATGAGTACACCACAACGGTACTCAGTAAGTGTCAAGCCTAACCTTGGTTGGGTAGTGAAGAGGAAGGTCAGGGCCCTACTGAGATTAAATAAAATATAAAGGTTAACAGTATAGAACAGAACAGTATAAATGAATACAACGGTAAAACAACACAGGGTGAACAGAACAGCAACAACTATACAGAACCTGGTAAACATGGAAAGGGAACACACTCAGCACCGATAGTAAAAATCGGGGATCTCCCAGGATACCGTCCTGTAGTCCCATCTTTACATCTCCAGTGGATCTCCCGGGATACCATCCCATAGTCCATATATATATATATATATCCGAAGGATCTCCCGGGATACCTTCCCGTAGTCCAACTCATAGTGCGCGGGGATCTATCGGAATCCCGTTCCGTAGTCCCAAATGTAAATACCCAATACTGGGGGAATTTATCGGGTGCATTCCCGTAGTTCCATATAACTGTGCAGGTGGATCTACCGGGAATCTAATCCGTAGTCCCAAAGTAAATATGCAGGGGGATCTACCGGGAATCTAACCCGTAGTCCCAAAGTAAATATGCAGGGGGATCTACCGGGAATCTAACCCGTAGTCCCAAAGTAAACAGACAAGGAGGGAGCTACTGGAATTCCATATCCGTAGTCCCAATATAAATACGCAGCAACAACAAGAAGATATTCAGAAATGAAATTTCATATCAAGGAAACAAGTAATTCTAGCCTAACATGTTTCACGTAGTGCAATCAAGACAATTTAAGCAACTAGGCAATTCAAGTCAACTAAACATGCTTTCTAACTAACAACATGCTAAATTTTGCAAGTATAATAAAGCAGGAAAGGAATCATGCTAATAAATACTTTAAGAAAAATCGGATTTCCAATAATTTGCACAAGTACGCGCCCGTTACCTCACGCACAAGGCAATTCAATTACCAAACATATCAATCCTAAGGGGAAGGTCCCCCACACAAGGTTAGACAAGCCACTTACCTCGAACCGGCTCAAAATCAACTTGAAACCACACTTTTGCCCCGAGTATCCAGCTCTAAATGGCCCAAATCTATTCAATTCAATTGTATATTATAAATAACACTTCAAGTAACTAATTCTACAACTAAATTCTAAACTAATACGCGAAATCATGTAAAATGACCAAAATGCCCCTCAGGCCAATGTCTCGAAATCGGGTGAAATTTACATTTTTAGAAGCCTCGTACTCTCACGAGTCTATACATAATAAGAACACTAAAATCAGAGTCCAAATGGCCACTCAAATCCTCATTTAAAGGCCTCTTAAACTCAAGTTCTAATTACCCATTTTCCTCAATTTCTCACCACTAATTAGGTCTATAATCATATATAAACGAGTTATGAAGTCAAGGACATTACCTCCAATCGATTTCCCTTTATTTTTCTCAAGAATCCCCCTCAAAAGCTCCAAACCCGGATAAAAGTGGTGGAAGAATAGCCAATTTTCGCAAAGGCAACTATTTATATGTTCTGCCCCGCGATTTCTGCATTTGCGGCTCTGGGACCGCATATGTGGTCCCGCTTATGCGGACCACATGTCACATCTGCAACTTTCATTAAACAACCTAGGAGCTGTATCTGCGATACTTATTTCGCATATGCGAAATCTGAAGGAGAATCGAGAATCCGCTTCCGCGGCTCCGCACCTGCGGAATCCAAACCGCAGGTGCGGTTATGACAGACACCAACAAATTTTCTAAATCTCTAACTTCAAAATCTTTCCGTCAATCATCCAAAATCATCCCGAGGCCCCCGAGACCTCAACCAAAAACACCAACATCACCTAATACCTTATTCAAACTTGTATCAATCCTTAAAACACCTAAAACAACATCGAAACCTCGGATTAATCAAGGATTTAAGCCTAAGAACTCCAAATTTCCTCAAAATACGCTTTCGATCAAAAACCTAACCAAACCACGTCCGAATGACCTGAAATTTTGCACACACATTCCAAATGACATGACAGAACTATTGCAACTTCCAAAATTCCATTCCGACCCTCGGATCAAAATCTCACTATTGGACCGGAAACTTCAAAAATTTGACTTTCGGCATTTCAAGCCTAAATTAGCTACGAACCTCCAAAACACATTCCGATCACGCTACTAACCCCGAAATCACCTTAACGGGGCTAACGGAACCATCTGATTTCCATTCCAAGTCCGTCTTCACACTGCTCCGACTACGGTCAACTTCCCAACACTTAAGCTCTCATTTAGGGACTAAGTGTCACAAAACTCTCCGA